ATGCTGTATACGTTAGTTTCTAGGATACACGACACGTCGTTTGTAAATGGATGATATTAATAAACGTTTCGGGAAACGTACGTTTCCATCTTTTTTCTTCCCTTTTCTTCTCTGTTCGTAATAGCGCCTTCCTTTCGTCAATTATTTATATGCCCTGGCGTATGTTTTTGTTTCTTTCTTCTTGTTTTTCTGGGTGGGGATGTGGAAATACGACTTATGAATTGATAAAAATCGGACAGGTTGTTGAACGTTTCGATTGATGTTGGATCGAATTGAGGAGGATCTATTTTTTTGGTTTCGATGCAAGATTAGACGAGGAATTTAGGTGGCAGTTATGTGGTTAATTTTGTGCTTGTAAGAGTGTGTACGGAATAATATCGTTCGCTGTGATTTTTTGCTGTGCACGGTTATTCATCACGCTCGCGATCGGGAAGGAAATTGTTATTCAAAACAGACCCAGATACGAGATCCGTCATCGTAGCATAATCAGACTGTGAAGATAAACTTGTTTTACCGGAGTGATTAGCTTACGTTAGAGACTGTTTCAGTTATCGATAACTTTAATTGTTCAATTACGGTAAACGTGGAAACGTAATTTTCTTCGATGATGCAGTGTGAAGATTAAAGGGAAAATGTGGAAAAATGAGGAAACGGGGAAATGACGAATGAGAAAATTACAGTAAACTGCAGTGAGAAAGTTTTGCTTTCTCGACGATGCGAAGTGAAAATTAAAGGAAAAATGTAGGAAAATAAGGAAACAGGGGAACGACGAATGAGAAAATTACGGTAAACGTGAGAAAGTCTTGTTTCTTCAATGATGTGAAGTGAAAATTAAAGGAAAAATGAAGTAACAGGGAAACGACGAATGAGAAAATTACAGTAAACGTGAAAAAGTCTTGTTTCTTCGACGATGCAAAGTGGAAATTATAGGGAAATAAAGAAACAGGGAAACGACGAATGAGAAAATTACAGTAAACGTGAAAAGGTCTCTTTTCTTCCACGACGCAAAGTGAAAATTAAAGAGAAAAGAAAACACAGAAAAATGAGGGGAAAAAGGGTAACGACGAATGAGAAAATTTCGGTAAACCTGAAAAGTCTTATTTCTTCGACGACGCAAAGTGAAAATTAAAAAAAAAAGTAGAAAAATAAAGAAACGACGAATGAGAAAATTACAGTAAACGCGGAAAAGTCTCTTTTCTTCGACGACGCAAAGTGAAAATTAAAGAAAAGCAAGAAAACGACGAACGAGAAAATTACAGTAAACACTAAAATCTCTCGTTTCTCCTACGATGCAAAGTGAAAATTAAAGGAACAAAAGAAAAAACCACAGAAAAATGAGAAGAAAACAAAAAGATAACGCCAAATGAGAAAATGAAAGAGCGAGCGTGGGTAAATTGTACGCTACTGCTTTTCTTTCTCTTTTTCTTTTTCCTACGGTTCGTATATTCCCCTTCTTCAGCAAGAACAACGTCCGAGGGTCGGTCTGGAATATTAATCACCCGCTATGACGTATTTAACAGTCATTAGGGACAGCTGACTAGATAGGATGCAAAATGTGAAGAAGTAGAAAGTGACGGGGACCTTCCTCTCTTGTACGCACTGACAGAAATAATAAATAATCCTTTCAGGTCATACAATATAATTACCAAGTATTTACAGGGATACTACTTTTTCTTCTTTTTTCTCTTCTTGTAACGTTGTTGCACACAGTCGAAGACAAGGTAACGCAACGTAAATAGAATAATGGATTAATTCGAGCCGAGTTGCTTCTCCTTAAGAGAGAACTCCCGATCCTTTTCAACGTGATTTTCATACGAAAAAGATGAATCATAAGGATCCTCGTATACGTTGATTTTTTTTTTCCATAGCTTAACCCGTTTCGCCTGATTCCGATATATAAATATAACGCATACGCGGCTCTCGTTGTGAATTTTACCACGTGAACATACTTTTCCTCGATCGTCACGGATACACACGGTGTCCCAGGTTTTAAAGGCCGAACGTTGTCGGTATATTCCATGGGTTGAAATTAGAAAAAAATTTTATACAAACGTACAGTGAGCAAAAGAAGTATTCATACACAATAACTTTTTTAAAATTGGGCCAAACCACTTAGTTTACCAGATGATGTGTGAACAAATTTTTTTAAAAACTGCAATTATTTGGAATCGCGAAGAAAACAGCGAAGGTCGTTTTTACAATATTTTTATCTGAGCTCGTAATGAAAATTTAGAAAATACGTTTTGTAGATCTATGTCAATTATACACACGCTGAAAATTTCATCGAAATCGGTGGATGGAGAAACAAGCGACAGGCATCGAAAGAAGTAGGAATCTGCAGATTTATTACAGTTCTAGGCCGAAAGTCGTGAAATAGCTCGTAGCAACGTTAACCGATTTCGATAAAATTTTCAGCGTGTGTATAATTGACATAGGTCTACAAAACGTATTTTTCAAATTTTCATTACGAGTTCAGATAAAAAGGTTGTAAAAACGGCCTATTTTCTTCGCGATTCCGACCAATTGCAGTTTTTTCAAAAATTTTTTTACACTTCTCAAAAAGACTCAAGTCGTTTGGCCAAATTTTAAAAAAGTTATTCCATTTTATAGGGTGTATGAATACTTTTTACGGTCACTGTAGGTCTTTTGAAGCTCTATTAAAAAGTTATGGCAATAATACAAAATTAAGAGAACAACAGCAGAGTCACGATTACTGCGATGTAATACAGAAACAGATCATCGATATTTGCGCGATATTTATACGATCGCGTACTGAATTGATACAAACAATTAACGATGCATTTACTGAAATGAAACAAAATAACAACGAAATTCGCAGAGTAACCTTCTGATTTCGATCTTGCATTGCCATAAACGGTGGACATTTTCCAGATGGAGTATTAGTTACTTCTTGCATAAACAGAGTAAACGTAAATATTGCTGATCTATTGCTGCATTATATCGCAGTAACCGCGAGTCTGCTATTCTTCTCTTAATTTCGTATTATTGCCATAACTTTTTAACCCTT